ATCCAAATCCTGATATGTTCTTTTCAGAATATATTCTTACAATATTGAGTTTTACTGAGTGATAACTCAGCTGTGAGAAAAAAATCGTCAGAGAGTCATAGTTCACAAAATTGTTCATAAATTTCTCAAACACATACCCCCTTTATTAGTGGTTTCTCTTTCGGAAATTTAAACAATATTTCGTTACTATACAATAGAAAGTTCTTACATTGTGTTTGAACACACATTTGTACTTTCTAATGTACGTACGTATGTATGAGAAGTAATGTTCATTGTAAAGAGAAATAAAAATACATGTTTGGAGTCCAATGATAACGAAATATGTGTTTTAAAACGTCCGATTATCTATCTGTCCAATAGTCCGTTCGTCAGATAAATTGATTATTTCGTGTTTCTGGGCGCGTGAACAGCTACAGTCCTTAGTCCCGTAACTGTAGTGTGTGTGATCAATCTTGAGATATGGCGGTGTTCTCCCTCGATAGCGACATCCGTCGCCGACATAGACGTTGGCTTTCAGGGTCTTCCACAACAAAGCTTCTCGCGCCTCCCCAGCCGAGACAAGCGCTAAGCTCACGACTGGCCTCTCCATGTGGTAGTAAAGTGATAGTTTATGTATGTACGATATACGGATAGTACAAGGAAATGGAAGGAAAGATCGCGCGTGGTCCGTGGTCGGTTTGTTAGGGTACTGCTCGGGCATTCCCCTGGTATTCAAACCGTGGAAAACTAGAGATCAGAGCAGAATTATTCTCCAGACTTGATGTAGCCATCTAGCTAGAGTCGAAACTCCAGCCAGCGACGGCAGCCCAACCCTTGGCCCTGCCGTTCAGAGGCGTTGCAGCGATGTCAGTTGATGCAGCCTCCTAAGCTGGTGCCATCCCGGCCCGTTGATATTCTTTTGATATAACATGAATGTAATGTTTTTATTCATTTTCTCATCATTAACATTTATTTTGGGGCGTTTCTGGGTACGAGTATTTTTGTGTGCAAGTGCAAGTGCTTTAAATGTTTTCTCATGACGTTCCTCAAAAACTCAAAACCTTTTTATGAAAACGAACTGAACATTGCGAATTTTCAGAAACGTCAAAAATTTGCACAAAGAATCAGGTTTCATTCTTCAATTATATTCTTTAAGTAGTATTTCTATTCATCTATTCGGGGTGGAAGCAAAATATTGAGAATATATGAAAATAGTATTTAAAGCGCTGATAAGTTCCAACTGAAAAGGTGTTTTTTGTAATTAGGATCCCTCGGAAGGGTAACTGGCTGCTACCAAGTTCGCTCTTTGCAGTAGCTGCTTTTTAGTTCCCGAATCCCTTTGAAGTGTGGTGTGTAGTGTTGTTAGTACTAAGTATAGAAAATCATGAATAACGTATTTTCTACTCGGAAGTTGGTTATGTCAAAATACAGCCATTTTTCTCCTGCTCTTTCGCAGGACGTGTGGGCCCCAGTGCGGCAGGTGCGCGCAGTGCAAAGGAAGCGATGACACATTGGAGAACTGCGTTGGGCTGTGCAAGGCCTGCCAGAAGTGCAAATCGTGCGAGAAAATAGGGAGCTGTAATCTGGAATGCGAGTCGTGCAAGTGGTGTCGAGAATACGAACCGAAAACCCAGGAATGCCGCGATGAGTGTACACAATGCCGTAACTGTATAAACTGTTTCCTGAGTTTTCCTCCTTAACTCACCGAAAATATTTTCTGGGAATTTAGGAATACTTTCGGGACTACGAGTAAAGGTTACCAAGAAATAACTAATTACCAATTATTTACACAAGTAAAAAATATTTACTTATATGGGATAAGAACCTCAGAAAGATTCTGGGCAGTACATGTTCATGAACTTAGAAAAAATTACTAATTTTAGGAAAAATCTTTGAATGGTAAAGCTTCGGATGGTTGCTTCTTCATTCAATAAAAAATTATTTGAGAGGATTTGGACTTCTTAAGAACTCTTTCCCTTCCATCCACAATGGAATCCATCTGACAGTATTTAGAGTAGTAAGCATTGATTCTATATAGAAAAGTATGATTGCTACAAATGTAAGAATGACAACAAATGGCGGCGGCGATGGTGTAACGGTTAGCGTACTGGACTGTTGTACTCAAGTTAGCGGGCTCAAACCCGATCGAAGCCGTCGATTTTTAAGGGCGAAAAAATCCTTCGTACGTCTTCCTTCGGAGGGGAAGTAAAGCCGGCTGTCCCATGTTAGTAGATTTACTTACATGTACAAGATCCTTAAGCCTAAATGACGCCTCTGAGCTAAATTCAAATCGCCTGTTTCTCGTCCAAGAAATTCCTCCTTTCTCTCCTAGTTGGTGAAAGGAGCGTAGCGAAATTGCGTGGTCAGACGGAAGAGCGGGCCTGATGGCCCGAGTCTCGCCACGTAAAATAAGGCAAATTCAATTCAAAAAGAAAAACGTAATTTGAAATGTACAACTTTTGGATTGAGAAATTAAGAAAAATGTTATGGAATATAGTTACAATGCGAAGAATTCATACACTTTTTTCATTTAAAAAGTACCTTCTCTCAGCATTTTAACATGTCTCCCCTCTCCTAAGTCTATCTTATTTTATCCTTAAATGGTGTAATATTTCGAACTTGTCTACATTAACAATCTTACTTACAGTCCCTTGAGCCAACTCTTCCCGGCCTTTCAATGTCTTGTGCACTTACAATGGCACAAGGACGACCGCTACCTTTTGTACAAATGACTGATGGTGTACAATTAGTGAAGCTTGAGTTAGTTTTTGCCATTCAAATAGAGCATGTGGTTTAGGTGAAATTGATGAGTGTGCCAAAAGCCGACACTTTCTAGCCGCACCATCACAACGCACAAACGCTCCCTATGACATAAAGATTGTTCGGGCTATATTGAATAACAGAACGGTGACATCACGTTATATAAAAGCTACAACGGTACACAATTGGTCAATGCCCCACTATTTGATTATAATTAGGTCCAGGTTCACGTATTTATCTCATACATTTATTTCTTACGTGTTCACCAACATGAACAACCGGAGAGCTGCAGTGATCCCGTGAGAAATGGCATCAAAAGAGCATATCCATAACCGATATTCATAAAGTTCATGCAAACTGACGATTGGGTACATGTTCACACATCTGCTGGTGAACAATACTATCAACATGTATGTATTCGCAACCGCTCTACCGGACCCATCAAACAAGATTATGATATTAGGTCTTGACAGTTCTCTCAGATATTTGCCAATGAATTTCATTCAAGACATAGTGATAGTTCTACATTTACGCTGGCGACAATCCTATCCGCAGATCGCATTGTCATGGGACGGTCGCAAGCGTCAGGTAGCGACATACACAACACTACACTACACTGCACTCCCCTTCACTACCCTACACTGCCTTCCCCCCACTACACTACACTTCACATCACTGTATAAGGGCCATGACGATAATAATTATGACAACATAATAATAATAATAAAAATAATAATAATAGTAAAATAATAATAGTAATAATAATATAATTAATAATAATAAAGATAAATGTCACAGTCAGTATTATTCGAGATGATCTAGATGGAATGAAGTATATTTTTAAATTTGCTACATTAGAAGAAGAGGCAACTAGTGCTTCTGCAGGTAGTTTTATTCCAATCTACTATAGTGCGATTCACAAAGGAGAACTTGCCTACATCAGTTCTTTGCTTTCTACATCGTATTTTCCAAGGATGGTCTCCTCTGCTTTATAATCTGATTTCTGTAATCTTTTACCGATATCTGCCCATGCTGTGTCCCCTCTGTATGTCTTATACATTACGCATAAACGCGCCCGTTCCCTTCTCTTTCGTAAGGACTCCCATTCTTTTCGTCCGTCACCAACGATTCGTCCGTCACCAACGGGCGTTTCTCGCACCGTAATCTATAGGACGAGTATCCTGGAACATTTTAAGTTTTGCTGGCCCGGCACTTCTCGACACTATTTTACGTGTTCAGAGACGTCCAGAATCTGCAGCCCTATGTGAAATTAAACTAATTACTGATATTCGAGGCGATTTTTGCAGTAAAATTATATTCCAAAGAGTAGGGTTGTACATGCCCGATCTTGATTTTCGCCTGGACAACTTTACGTATCTGAGTAAAGAGATTTCAAATATGTTTGTGACAATCAAGGACAGCTGTGAAACAAGATTGTCTAATTACTTAAAATGTTGTTTTTATGGAATTGCTATGAATTATTCCAAAAAAACTCTGTCAATAATACTGAATAACTCTTTGTTCAAAATTTATTTCAATTATCAATTTTTGGTTAGTTATTTTTATTTGATATTTTATAAGAGCATTGTAAGTTACGTTTATTCGTTTTTAAAGAAATAGATACATTTCGTGAACTGATTTCCCTCTTAATATGGTCCAGGAAAGATAAAGAAGAGGGGGGTGTTAACCATGCAAGAGTTCTGGCACGGTTCATACGCTAGTTTTAACATAACAACAAAATTTGATTTAGACATATCAATATTAAATTTATTTTGCCCTTGCATTAAATCATTTCTTTGGTGGTATTATTCTTCGTAATATGCATATGTGTTATTATCTATTTTTAAATTATTATCTTATTGTTATTGATTTTTGTACAATACGAATAGTCGCTATCGGATTTTATATCGCTTTTAAAGATTGATGAACAATAAATAATGATAATCATTATGCTTCGATTGCTCCTAATATTATGCATGAGATAGGATATATAAAGCATAAAAATTCGCACTTTATAACTCGTTACGTGGAAATATACCCTCAGAATAGCTGTAAGTCATCAGAATGTACTCGCTTCCCGAAGTAGTTTTAAGAATATAACTCTGATAACCACCGTTCTTATTATTTAGTGCTGCAAACTGACATGTATAAAATGTAAATCAATATTACGACTCTGATACGTTGTCTTCAGATAGGAGTGGAATGCGGTATTATATAAAGCGCGTATCCAGGATTGTGTCGGTTGCTCCATCAGTGGAATCATGTACCTTCGTTTGAACCTCGCGGCGATTCTTGTCGTACTTCTATTATGTACTTCAACATCGCACGCATTCATACAACAGTCTTCTTCTAGAGGTCCTGTGAGAAATGCCGAAGCGAAACCCATTGAAAGTTCACTTCGAAGTGAAGAAGGTTATCAACTGAATAACGAAAACGGAGACAGGTATTGGCTTTATAATTTGTTATAGTTTGTAAGAATGCTAATTCATAGCTCCCATAACAGAAAATATTTACTTTAATTAAGGCTGACGCATTCTTATAAGACCTAAAGTCATCGCTAAAGCGGAGAGATGAGTATATAAACATCTAAATTGTAGAACAATGCATGTCCATGTCAGTTACTGAGCAGAGGCAGTGGATACACAGATCCTTGTTGTTGAAAATAATTGTAAATTTTATGAAAAATCCTTAAATAAAAATACAATATCGTTTTAATACGTTAACATTAAATCATCTTCACTTATTATCGTTAGACCGCATCAAAAGAGAATGGTAAGACTGCCAATCAACTTGCGCACGCATGTTGTGTATCCTACTTACGTAAAACTACCCTTGTTCCGATTTTTTGCCGCTTCAATGTTAATGTAAGAGTGCACTATTTCATTTCTCAGACTGGGCGAAGCAAAGAGGGGTAGAGATGTAACAAAAAGTACTATCATTTTCTCAATAGTCTTGATTTCCTATCATTCAGATGATTATAATAAGTGAATAAAGTAATACACGGGAAATTGTGGGGTAAATCAGCTAATTTAAAGTATTCGATTTATTTAGAAACGTAAAATAAATAAAAAAAAGAAAACATTAGCACTTAAGAATGTCGACAAATGTGCATTTAGCTTTAATATTGAAAATTAAGCTTTATTAAAACTCTCATTGAAAGGAAATTGACAGATTATATTATCGTAAAATGTGTTGAACTTAAGTTCAAACGAATTGTTTTACATGCATATATAGACTTTTTTCATTGGTCTAAACAGAGAATCACAATTTTGTTACGGACGAAAGACCCAAAAACCGTATCTTACGTTCCAAGGCCGTCAAATGTTATTTTTCAAGAAAGGTAATTTGGTAACCGAGGAGTCAGGAGTCCCGACGTTGATAATATTCCGTGGTCGGGCAAGTAACTCTGTCACCGAAGAGCACTCGATACTTTTTTCAGACTAAAATCTACATTAAATATTCATAATTACCTATTTTTCACATGTATAAGATCGAATTATAAGAACAATCGCAAACGGAAAATAAATTACATCTGTATACACTAAAGCAGAAAATATGTAGTTCGTAACGTTAGGTATTAGCAATTGGTTTTATTTAGTTTTTGCGTTTCGAAATGGTAGAAATGGTTGCTATTACATCCACGGACAAGATATTAAGCAAACACGAAATATTTTTGACTTCGTCAGTGTCCTGGCTCACAATGTTTTGTAGGGTGCTTTCCAATTATTGTAGGGCAAATATTGTAGTTCATAGATGAAATGCGCAAACACATGTTTGCTGGTAAAATGTGATCATATTTGACTCTCGTCCATTGAGTTTTTGTGAGGCATTTTATTTTGCATGACTTGCAGGCACATTCTTTCATGCATTGGTTTGTCTTTCAGCGATGTGTGCAGAGTAGTATGTGAAGCGTGTCGCCTTTGCGTCAGCAACTTCTCTGACGACAACAAGGACGGCACTGAATGTGGAACATTCTTCTGCAAAGCGTGCATTACATGCATGAAATCTAATTTATATGATGGAAGACGTTTCTGGGGCTTTTGGTGGTGAGCATCGTCGTTTTATGACGTCGATGAGGCATCGTAAGATGTCGTTAGTATCATTGGTGGTGAACTTTATTTGTGTTGATCATAAATCAATGGAACGATAAGCACCTAATTGTTTAACGATCACACTATTACAATAAAATAAAAGGTATTAAAAATCTCGAATATTTTTTTTAATTTTCTATGTACTTTCTCCTTGGACACATACTTAATCTGTTGGAATTAGAACTGCTAAGATACCATCCACAAATTGAATTTCACACCCACAGTCACACAGCTTTTTCATTTTTTAGTTAACTTAGTATATAAATAAAAACCTTCAATTTTATAGTTTTCTAAATGTTAATTCTGCGTACAACGTATACCCGCAACATTAGTACGCCGAGCTGGCGCTAGAAGCGCGTGCGTGCTCGCAACTGAGAAAGCAGGGAGAGGCGCTGCCCGAGATATACAGTATCTAGGTGGTGTTGCGCTGCTTCTGGCGGAAACAGAAAAGAGAGCGCAGCCGACTGAACTTTAGGACGCACATGCTTGATTTGCGGGCCAGCTCACAAGTCGCTAGTGAGGGCTACCTGAGAATCGGGCTTGACAACCGACCTGTTGTTTCAGAGTATTGCTTGTCAAATTACGCGATTTTAATATAAATTTACGTGTTAACAAACAACGTATAAATGTCATATATTAATAATCGTTTGTCATGTAAGAAAGGTAAAGCAACTTCAGACCATAAAAATGTAAAAAATGGCAAAATTTTTAAAATATGCATCTGTGTTCTACAAGAAACAATAAGTCAAGATTAATTTTTTGAATTCAATTTCTTCAATTTTTGAGTGTCACTCCTTAGCTATGTTCAAAAATTTTAAACAATTATCTTCTCAGAAAGAGCTCCAACTTATTTCTTGAATTTATTTTATATATGTAGCAAAGAATGGTAAAGAAAGTAGTATGTATCCATTTTCGACGCACTCTCTCTATACGACACACTCTTATTCGAAATATGAAAAAAAATGTTAAATTTGAATTCCCTACACTTGTTTTAAGCCACGTTAGTGTGTGAATGTAATTTGAGATTTGTTAGGAGGCAGTTGGATGTTCTGAGAATCCTTTCCCATTGTTTAATTAAATATTAATTAAATTAATATTACGTATCGTAGATCTATAGTTGCAGAAACCTATAGTACCTATATTTAGGTGCAATGCAAATGCACATTAGGTAAGCCTGAAACATTTTGCGAGGAAGTACTTTCTCGCAATCGTTTGCCCGAACAGAGTAATATCAAAGTGATTGATTTGGAATATTTATTGCTCTGAGTGCTTCATTCTCTACCGAGGGGCCTCCACAAAGCCCGCGATCATCTGCCTTTGGGCTGACTATGACTTTTAATTACTCGTACTTTGCTTCTGAAAATCCCACTTAATTTGATTTTAACTCTATTTGACAATTATGATTACCAATGTATTGATGTATTATCTTTCAAAGAATCTGCCAACCGTAATTGAAATTACCGGAAGAGGTGGCCCAGTGCATCAGCTGATGTCACTGCGCTTCAAGGTCAGTAGGTCTAGATCAAAAATGTCAAAATAAAATTGTGGTCTACAGCTGTATTAGGTTTAATGATTAAACGTTCATAGCTTAAGTGTTTACCTTAGAAGCTGTAGCAAAATTGTCTACCAACTAAAATATCTTGAAACTACAAAGTTTAAATTAATTTTGTGATTCATTTAAAACATCAGAAGATTTTGTCAGATTTTTGCAAAAAAACCTACTCAGTTTTGAAATTTTAGGTATTGCCTCTTGTTCTTTTATTAATCTCTCCTTTTCTTTTCTTTTAGTAGATCCAGAAGAATAGATTCGTCCAATATCTCTGTCACGACTTGCCATCTTAATCTACAGCTCAAAAAAGTTTTGTATGCACACTTGTACTTAAAAATATACTTTTAATTATCGCATGAGTATAGAAAAATATTAAAAAATATTTATCTGACTCAAAAATACTATTCATCTGGTACAATAATTTCATAAAATGTTTTAATATTTTAAATTATTAAAAATTGTTATTTAATATAAAAGTGGAAAAGATGAAATTAGTGATTATGAACAACTTACGATTTCAAGTTGTACTGGCTATTCTAATAGAAACACTGGATAAAAATGCCTATTTTGCTGATTAAGGGGATAATGTTTTTACCAGATACTTTGGAGAAAATGTCCTAAAAATTTAAAATACTCAAATACACAGGTGAAAAACTATTTATAATTTAAAACATCAACATGCATATATTACTTATAGAAAAAATTACTGAAAAACTCTGAAAATTGGTCTAAAAAATATGAAAATTCCTCTTAAAAAGTCTGAAATGTATTCAATTTATACGGCATTTAAATTTTTTGTAGAATTTTTGTGTGAAATATTCTTGAAAAATTTTAAAGCAAACTATGATAAAAGTCTTAAAATCTCCGAAATAGTTACATTTTAAGTCTTTTTTTAAAGAATATTTCAGACTTACAGTTTTCAAAAAGTTTTTCAAACATTTTCACGAAACAGTTCAAGAAAGCTCTAAAATGCTCTTTAAAATGAATCCTTTTTAAATTTGTTCACAGCATTTTTCAATGATTTTTTCCCACAAAGGTACCAAATTTGATTTAACATTCCGTCACTCGCGCGGCCATTCGTAACACCAGTACTCGCGCGTTGGACTCTGTCCGACACAACTACTAAGGAGTTTCTTTTTCTCATTAACATCGTTTATACATTTTTCTTATATATCTGTGCTTATATTATAATTGAATATACCATGGAAAGATACGAAAATAATTAGTTGCAAACCATTTGGAAGATTTTATTATATTTCCGTCACTCGGGCGGCCATTCGTAGCACGAGCACTCGCCCGCATAATTTAGTTATAACATTTATGTTTTTGCACACTAACGAGTAAAAATGCATAAACACAACATTTTTATATTAAACATTCTCATATTACAGAAAATATATTTTTTATTAATTATACAAACTCACCGTTCTATACGCCAGTATCCGCATGTTGGATTCTATCAAACAGGCATTAAGTTTTTACTTCAGGGTATGGCGCCACTACGCATAATAGAGATAAGAAGTTTATCGGCATCCTTCCCAGATATCATTCGTGGAATAGAAGCATTGATTTTGTACGTGGAAGTACGTAACATTCCTTTCTTAACAAGAAAAGATCTTCTGTTTGACTCTATCCAACAGCGCAAGTGACGAAGTGTTAATATAAAATATATAAATAAGTAAATTACAGATATATTATAATTATAAAAATAACTTTAAAACTTAATACATACGAATTTTCATAAAAATGTATCACACTTGTTATTTTACCGATTTCTTGTAGCAAACTGAATTCATTTTCGATATTTCCTGCCAAGCAATACAAATAACGTTAAGTTTGTTTATTCCCATGGTCTAGCTTATCGTTAAGATATTTAGAAAATTGAAACCTACTACATACTCATAACTCCCGACTTGGTGATAAAATTCCAAAACTGAACAGACCGATGTGATAAGTGATACTTTATTAATTTCTGGAAATTAGTGGCCCTGATTTTAGATCTGAGTAATAATTTTTCTTTTGAACGTAAACTAAATTAATTGCAGCCCCTACCTGCAACAATAAGACATTTTGTTTAACATTATTTACTTTATATACAATTATTTTAGTCTTTTTACCGTAATTTAACAAATTTCATTACGGAAAAGCTTTTTTTCTTCATTAGTGAGATTTTTACCTCAGAAAGCGCGGGACTCACGAAAGTGCCGGGCCCGTAGCACGTGTTACTAGGCTAAACCGGGACTGACGCGAGCTGAGAAATTTCCGAATCTTAAGAACCATTCTTCTGTCTATGTTAGGCTTACTAATATTTTGGATTAACTTATCACGGGGAACGAGGTCAAACTCTTTGGTGAAATCTATAATAATTGCGTGAACGATGGAACCATCGAGAGAATCAGCAATGTGACCGTGACTACCTGATTCTCACATGAATATCCTTTTCTGAAACCGTGTTGCAGTTCGTAAATGATATAATTCTTATCCAAAATTACACGCAAGTGTTCTGCCACCATATGCTTTATTCGCTTACACACTACAGGAGTAACACTTACTGGCGATAATTTTCGACAATTTGGCGCAGGCTTCCTTTGGATATTTGGACTACTATGGCCTCTCTCCAATCCTTAGGAATACATGAATTGTTCATTGATATCTCGAAAATCCGCAATAGATACGACAACATTGCTTCTCCTCCTAATTTGTGAATTTCCCCCGAAATTTCGTCCGGTCCTGTTGATTTATTAGTACCTATTACGGCCCTTTTTCCTACGTCCTGTCAGGTTAAGTAACACAATTTTCTCCTTCGTATTCGTTTACGTATCTTTATTTTATCTGTATAAATTGACGCGAAAAATTGGTTAAATGTATTTAATTTTTGTTTCTCGTGTACTCGCAAATTATTATTACTGTTTCTTAACGACGGGATTTGTTCGCAAATTCCTTTGCACTTTCGTACATATTTAAAAAAATCCAACTTTCCAATTTTCATCAGTAAGGATCTTTTCCAAAATGCCCTTCCTGTGTAAATACTTTCGCCTCCAATACTCCTCTCGATAGTTTCTTAAATTTCTCATAATGTTTATTACTATTTTTTTCTTTTCCCGTATGAACGCCTTGCTTCGCTTTTTTACTTTCGTATCCGGTTGTTATAATATTCTGAATCACGATTTCTTGTCATGATTTTACACGGTACAAAGAAATCCATACACTTATTAATGATTTTCTTGAAATTATTCCACACTTCCTCTACAGAACTGCCAAATCCCGCCCATGTGGAATATTAATCGACTAAATACTTTTGTAAATTGGCCACGTCAGCCTTACGGTACAAGTAAATTTTCATACGCTCAGTTTTGTGCGGTGTATAGTTCCTCTTCACTTTCAAACACAGTCGAGTGATCGCTTATATCTGGAACTGCGTCACTACTAGGAATGGATCCCTCTGGTTGAATTAAAAATATATTTAATATCGCATTTTCTCTCGTTGGCTGCTTTACCACCTCCACGAGGTTATTTGTCAAAACTAGCTCGTTTACAACAGCCTGCTCCCCTCCGTCA